TTTAAAGATTTGCATAATTTAGACATTGCATGTGCTTACAGACATACAGTATATAGGATTTCCCACCTAGCTTCTTTTATTAAATGTAATGTTTTTGAGGTTCATCCATATTATAATGTGTATTAGTAGTTTATTTCTTTGCATTGATTAGTAGTAATCCACTGCAAGGATATATCACATTTTGTTTGTCTGTTCACCAGATGATGGACTTTAGGACTGTTTCCGTTTTTTGGGTTTTTTTTTTTTTTTTGCAATTTAAAAATAATGTTTCTATGAACATTGATATGTAAGTTTCTGTGTGGACATATGTTTTTATTTCTCTTGGGTAGATACCTAGGAGTGGAATTGCTGGTCATATGGTAAGTTTACATTTAACTTTTTAAGAAACTGCCAAACTGTTTTCCAAAGTGTATACACCATTTTACTTTCCCACCAACAATGTGTGTTTCAGTTTCTCCACATCTTCACCAACACATGTTATTGTCTTTTTTATTATAGCTATTTTGTAGGTATGAAGTGGTATGGTATTGTGATTTTAATTTGCATTTCCCTAGTGACTAATAATGAGCATTTTTTTTCATTTACTTTTCAAGCATTCATGTATTTCTTTGGTAAAATATATATTCAAATATTTTGCCTATGTTGTTGTATTTGTCTTAAATATTGAATTGTAAGAGTTCTTTATAAATTCTAGATATGAGTTCTTTGTCAGATATATGACTGGCATAAATTTTCTCCTAGTGTGTGGCTCATCTTCTCATTTTCTTAAAGATTCCTTTTGAGGCAGCAAAATTTTAAATTTTGATTAGGTACAGTTTATCAAGTTTTTTGTTTATGAATTTCCCTTTTGGATTTAGGAATTCTTTGCATAAGATCATGAAAATTCTCTTCTATATTTTCTTCTAGAAATTTCAACAGTTTAGCTCATCCTTAGGTTTTTGATCCATGTTGAGTTTATTTTTGTGACTATTGTGAGGTAAGGGTCTAACTTCTTTTTTGCATGTGGCTATTCATTTGTCCCAAGACTGTTTCTTAAAAAAAACCATTTTTCCACATTGAATTGCCTTGGCACTTTTGCTGAAAACCAAATGCCCACAAATGTAAGGGCTTCTGTTCTCTCATTTTTGTTGCATTTATTGACATGGTTATCCTTATGCTACTGTTGGGCTTCTCTTGTGGCTCAGACAGTAAAGAATCCACCTGCAGTGCAGAAGACCTGGGTTCGATCCCTGGGCTGGGGAGATACCCTGGAGGAAGTCATGGCAGCCCACTCCAGTATTCTTGCCTGGAGAATTCCATGGACAGAGGAGCCTAGCAGGCTGCAGTCCATGGGGTCACAAAGAGTTGGACATGACCGAACGACTAAGTACAGCACATGTTGGTATCACACTGCCTTGAATACTGTAGATTTACAGTTTAAATAAATAAATTTTTAAAAATCAGGTGATGAAAATCCTCCAACTTTGTTCTTCTCTTTAGACATCTCATCTCTACATATATTTATACATCTATTTGGGGATTACCTTTCAAAATCTGCAAAATAGCCTGCTGAGATTTTTGACAAAGGGGTTGATTGAATCTATAGCTGAGCTTATCATCTAATCAACACTGAGTCCTCCAATCCATTTATTCAGATCTTTAATTTTTCCCAACAATGTTTTATAGTTTTCAGTGTACAAGTCTTCCATTTCTTCTTTGCATTTGGTTTTCTTAACCCATTTCCTCTTTTGATATTGCAAACATTTTCCCCACAACATTATAAAAAGTTCAGTAAGATTTCTATTAAACCTATAGCATTTTGTGGTGTCCTTGAGCAGTCCCTTCTATTAGAAAACAGTCAATTCTCATTATTGTAATAATTATCTTCTATTAAAGTCATCATGAACACTGAAATACCAATACTAAACCATTACTTCTAGGTTTCTGTGAACCTCCAGTCACAACATTTGCATTAATCAATTAATATTGAACTCATGGTCAACAGCACTGTAACTCATGTCTGAATGACACTTGCCTTTCACATGTATTTTCATGTGCCATAGGGCACTTCACAGCTTCCTGCAGTTAGGAACACTAGACAGGACTTCAACTTGCCTCTTGAGAGTTATTTTAAACAGTGAAATCATCAACAAAAAAACACAAAAATGAGAACAATTTGCCACTACCTAGATCACAAAAATGACATTGAAGGACAGGGAAGCCTGGTGTGCAGCAGTGCATGGAGTTGCAAAGAGTCAGGCATAACTTAGTAACTGAACAACTACAACAAAAAAAACCAATGAGAGCTAAAACAGAAAAGCAGAATGTTGCCTTGTTCAGCCTCAACTGGGAACATCTATCTATGTTGGGTGACTCAAAATTTTGGCCACTCTGCATATGTCCATAAATAACAATGAAAACAGCAATAACTGATTTTTGGATTACAAGTAAATTTTATTGAACTGGTACATTTGCCAACAGAGAATCTGGGGATAATGAGACTGAAGTGTACATTTCTTTGTGCTTTTCTTTGTACTTTACTATCCTGGCTTTCCACTTACCTCATTGGCCACTTCTCAAGCTTTCTTTACTGGTTCTTTGTCTTCTTCTTAAACTCTACTATGTTTGGAGAGTACTTGAGCTCAGTCCTTGGTCTTATTCTCTTTTTTTATTGATATCTACACTTTATTCTCTGTCTCTGTGGATGATCTCAGACAGTAGTTTAATTGCCACCTCTCACCTGTTGACACAGATTTTCATCTCCAGCCAATACCCCTCTCCAGCACTTCAGCTTCTCATTTTCAACTTGTTACTTGATATCCACTTTGATGTTTAATAGGCATGTCAGACTTATGTCTAAATCCAAACACTTGCTATCTCCTGCAAATCTGTTCCTCTGTCAGCTGCCCACATCTGTAAATGGCACCCCGATTCACTCAGTTGCTCAAGACAAAATCTAAGCAGTTATGCTTGCTTTCTTCCCTTCCTGCTTTCCTCACATCCAGTACATTAGCAATTCTTGTTTGTTGTTGTATTTCCAAAATATCACTAGAATCTGTCTACCTCTCTGCAATCAGCTTCCACCATCTGCATCCAGGCCTCCATCTTTCTTACTCCATCTTACTTACTTTCTTACTTACCTTGCAATTGCCTCCTATCTAAACTATCTTTTTTTTTTTCTTTTGTTGTTGCCTTCATTCATTCTCCAGAGAGGATCCAGAGTAATCTTTAAAAGGTGAATAGATAAAGACATTGTATGTTTAAATGGTCTTCTGTTCTCTTGGAATAAAACTTGTGCAGTGCACCATGGCTAAGAGCCCTATGACATGCCAAATTCTCCAGCCTCATAATTTCACACCACTTTGGATTTCTTTTGTTCTGGGAATATGGTAAGCTCTTTCCTGCCTCTGAATGTATTACTTGCTCTTCTCTGTTTGTGCAATTCTCTTCTTGCTTTTTTATGGCTAATTCCATTTCTTCTTTTGAATCCCAGCCATTATATCATTTCCTCAAAGGAAGTTTTCTTAATCATTCTTTTTATCTTCACTAACTCTCCTGACTCACCTTTTTGTTAGTCGCTAAGTCCTGTCCAACTCTTTTGGGACTCCATGGACTGTAGTGTGCCAGGCTCCTCTGTCCTTGGGATGTCCCAGGCACGAATATTGGAGTGGGTTGCCATTTCCTTCTTCAGGGATCTTCCTGACCCAGGGATTGAACCTGCATCTCCTGATATATATATAAATATATATATATAGCCATCGATCCGTCAGTGGCACTTAGGTTGTTTTCATATCTTGGCTATTGTAAATAATACTGTGATGAATGTAGAGGAGCATATGTCTTTTCAAATTATTGGTTTTATATTCTTCAGATAAATACCCAGAGTGAAATATTTGGATCATATGATAGTTCTATTCTTAATTTTTTGAGGAATCTCCATACTGTTTTCCATAGTGGCTTCACCAATTTAAATTCTCAGCAACAGGGCACAAGGATTCTCTTTACTCCACATCCTTGCCAACACTTGTTATTTCCTGTCTTTGTGATAATAGCCATTTTAACAGATGTGAAGTGATATCTCACTGTGGTTTTGATTTGCATCTCCCTGATGATAAGTGATACTAAGCATATTTTCATGTGTCTCTTGGCCATCTGTATGCTTTCTTTGGAAAAATGTCTCTCCCGATCCTCAGCCCATTTTTTATTTGGATTGTCTGTTTTTTCCTTGTTGATTTTCATTAATTTTTATATATCTTGGATCCCAGCTATTATATCATTTCCTCAAAGGAAATTTTCTTAATCATTCTTTTTATCTTCACTAACTCTCCTGACTCACCTTTTCATTAGTTGCTAAGTCTTGTCCAACTCTTTTGGGATTCCATGGACTGTAGTCTGCCAGGCTCCTCTGTCCTTGGGATTTCCCAGGCAAGAATATTGGAGTGGGTTGCTGTCTCCTTCTCCAGGAATCTTCCCAACCCAGGGATTGAACCTGCATCTCCTGATATATATATATAATATTAGGTATATGACTTGTAAATATCTTCTCCCATTCAGTAGGTTGTCTTTCTATTTTGTTGATAATTTCCTTTGTTGTGCAAAACTTTTTGGTTTGATATCATCCCATTTGTTTATTTGAAAGCTTGTCTGATTCTAAGAACTGATCTATTTCTTCTAGATTGTCCAACTTGTTGGCAAATAACTGTTCATCATATTCTCTTACAATCCTTTGTATTTCTTTGGTATCTGTTGTAATGTCTCCTAATCTATGTGGATTAGGATGTGTAATGTCTCCTAATACTAATCTATGCTAATAATATAAGAGAGATATATTCTGAATGTCATACAAGGGTAACCTAGATTCCTCTATCAGCATACTCAGTCTTTCTGATGGTGGTTTATTTTTAATCATGTGCTTTAGCATAAACTCTCTTAATCAAATATGACAAATTTCACTTTTTGGTAACAAAGGAAAAAAAGGTGTGCTTCAGTCTCACTAAAATTTCCAATAATCTTTTTTTCAGGTTAACCTTGTATTATGTTGGAATAGGAGTTACTGCCTTGATTTTTGGCTACATACAGATTTCGTTTTGGGTTATGACTGCAGCTCGACAGACCAAGAGAATTCGAAACCAGTTTTTTCATTCAGTTTTGGCTCAGGACATCAGCTGGTTTGACAGCTGTGACATCGGTGAACTTAATACTCGCATGACTGAGTAAGAGAATGGATGTGCAGTTTATCAACTTTGTTCTTATACGTGATGTGTAAATGACTTAATTTCATGTATTTTCTTGTTTCAGTGACATCAACAAAATCAATGATGGTATTGGAGACAAGATTGCTGTGTTGTTTCAAAACATGTCTACTTTTTCTGTTGGCCTGGCAATTGGTTTGGTGAAGGGCTGGAAACTCACACTGGTGACTCTGTCCACATCCCCTCTTATAATTGCTTCAGCAGCCATATTCTCTAGGGTAGGTAAGATGGCTAATGCAGTGTTGACTGAGAGCAAGAATGTGAAGATATTTTACTGAGATTGTATAAAAAGAAGGCAGTTCTATTTATTTATGTGTCTCCAAATAAGAAAGAATATTATATGCCACAAATACTTTTGATTTCATTCATCATTAACCACCTTTCTATCTTCAAGTAATTTGACTACAATGAAGTCTTGTTTTAATATCTTACTAACATCTGAAAATATTCCTTTTATTTATAACCTAATGCAGTTTCAAATACTAGCATGGATAAAGTTTTATGCCACTATACATTGAATGCTGGGAAAATCTTGTGTATTCTAAATTCCCAGATAAATGTATTTCTATTAATTTCACCAGAACAGAATGGAGAAATCCTAAAACAGTAAACATTTAAGCTGTTATATGACTATTTTATGTCAACCATTCCAAATTTATATTTTATAAGGCTCTGAATTACCATTTAAAATGTCTGCTAATGTATATGTTTATACATCATGTATATGTTTCAATTTTTTAAAACAAATTATGTATTTATACAAGTTATATTTTATCACTGTTATAGTGTGAATATTAATCTTTTTACAAGATATTAATCTATTTACAGCCTGGTTTTTAAATCAGTGCCCTTTGTAAAGGGCAAAATATATATACCCCTGCACCAATATATCCTTAATATTTCTCTCCATGTTAAGTTTTTGGCAATACTACCAATGTGTATACCCATCTCCTAGATTGGAGGCACAGTGTACTCTTGAAAGATGGAGTTTTGTTTTGTTTTGGGCTTTTTTGAGTTTAAAATTTTTCAAAGCTAATTGTTTTTTATGGAAGTCAAAACCATAAAATTCACTGAGTTTCTTTGTTAGCTATATACAAATTCAACCAAACAAGAACTTTCAGCAATAAAAAATATTCTGTGATTAAAAATCCCTTCACAATAGATTTGGGTGTTTAGACCACAGATCTTTATTTAGTGAGTTCTAGTGTTGACCTTGTAACCCTTGTCAAAATCTTCATCCCCAGCTTACTAGAAATGAGGACCCCTCACTAGGAAAATTACCCATGTTACCAAAATCAGAGCTTTAACTTCCCAAAAAGTGAAGTGGACAATGAGTTTAAAAAGAACAGCAGTGGGGAAAACTAAAGTCTGCTCTTGTTGTTAACTGGTTGCAATAGGAAGAAAAGTCAAAATAATCTAAATGACTGAAGAAGCCAGGCTGGATGGTTTCTAGCATCTTTTAATTCAATTTAATTCAACAAGTGTTTATTGAATACTGGATATGTATTGGGTTGGCCAAAAAGTTTGTTTGGGTTTTTCAATAAGATGTTACAGAAAAGCCCAAATGAATTTTTTGGCCAACCCATTACAAGGTTTTTTGCTATGTTCAGCTTCCCCTTCAGTGATACATTATAGAAATAGCTATCTTTATTAGTGAGTTTGGTAAATAATGAGGATTACTCAGTTTATAATACCTTCTGCTTTAGCAAACATCTGAACATGTCTTACATAAAATTAGTTCCAATTATGTGGAGCGTATTTTGAAAGTGGATTGATTTGTTATGTGAGTAAACCACAGTTACAGACTCATAACCCTAAGGACAATTTCCCTGCTTCCTTTCATTGAACTCTTATGCTAATTACTAAATTAAATCCTTCACTTATTAAAGGAATAGTAAGTGAAATGAATAATAGAGAAAAAGGCACAAGCTGATTAAATATTTTGAGAAATCAAGTAAACTTGACTAATATCACCAAGAAATAGTCTCTCTCTCTCTCTCTCATTCCACTTCTTGCTACAACTCTCTAACTCACGCTTGGGAAGTCTTTTTCTTTTTTTCTTTATACATAGTAAGAAATCAAATCAAGTCAAATCAGGCAAACTAATTTTCAAAACACACTTAAGAAGAACCATGTCCCTAATATCCTTCTCCAAATCAAATTTTTCCAAACTGTATTGAGATAGCTACTCATTTTCTAAGCTTTTAAAAATATAGAGAAAAAACAGTGAAGCTCCATTAGAAGGAAAAACAGAGATTTAGACTCTAGGTTATATTAAGCTAAGCTTATTCACTGCTGTGAGATTCTAAAACATCAGTATCTGTCATCTTTGATTTCCTCATTCACAAACTGACTGGGTTAGAATGTTATAAGTATCTTTTCAATAGTAAAATTTTGTCATTCTAGATTCTACCTGAATTAAATTCTCTGCACATTGTTAGTATCTCAGGTTATTCTTTTTTTTCTGATGATCAATCACACTTTATGTTTTATTGGGGTATAATTTACAATATTGTGTTAGTTGAAGGTGTACAACAAAGTGAATCTGTTATTCATATACATATATCCATTCTTTTTTAGTGTCTCTTCCTATATAGGCCATTAGAGTGTCGAGTAGAGTTCCCTGTGCTATACAGTAGATCCTTATTACTTATCTATTATATATATATATACGTTTGTATGTGTCAAACTCAGTCTTCTAATTTGTCCCCTTACCCTTACCCAGGGTAGCCAAAAATGTATCTTTTACATCTGTAACTCTATTTCTGTTTTGTAGATAAGTTCATTTGTAGTCTTCTTGTATCACATGTGAGTGATATCATATGGTATTTGTCTACCCTAAGTTATCCTTAGGTTAACTATGGTCTTTGTTTATTGTAGATAGTTATTTCATTATCCAATAAGGAATTAAATGCCTATTCCAAAGCTGGCGCTGTAGCAGAAGAAGTCTTGTCATCAATCCGAACAGTCATAGCCTTTGGGGCCCAGGAGAAAGAAATTCAAAGGTCTGTTTCTTTAACTATGATAATATACACTTGCTATGATTTTCCCCCGAGGCTATTTCCACCAGGAGTCAGTGGTCCAGCTGTGATGGCATCACATCTCTGTCTGACGTCACAGCTGCAACTTTTTTTTTTGATGGTTGTTATTTTGTTTTGTTAAATAAGATTAATAACTTTATTATTTGTGTAAAAGTGTTGCACCCATATTATAAAAATTCAAGCCATTGGAGAAATATACAGAAGAAAAATAACTCACCTTGTTTCACCCTCTTCAGAAAAACATAATTAGTATTTAGTGACTATCCTTCCAGGCATCTTTTCACATATATACGCAGACATCTGAAGAGGGAGGGGAGCGAAGAGATCAATGGAGATTATTCTAAGTGCGAGGCTGCTCTTCATCTTATTCGTAACAAAAATAATTAACTTTTACCTGAAGAAAATTAAACGGAAGTGGAATTTGAAGAAATTGTCAAAATTTAGACAGCAAATCTCTTCCCAGAAATAATCCTCATCCCCAAGTTATTCCTCTAAAGTGAAGAAGAAAATTATGGACTCATCTCACAGATAGAATCTTTGTTTTTCAGCAACTTGTTTCACTTTATCAAGGTTGGAGCAGGAAATGGCAATCCACTCCAGTATTCTTGGCTGGAGAATTCCATAGACAGAAGAGCCTTATGGGCTATAGTCCATGGGGTTGCAAAGAGTCAGACACAACTGAGCGACTATCACTCAAGCCTATTATATTTTGTTGTTTCTTTTAAAGGTATACGCAGAATCTAAAAGATGCAAAGGATGTTGGTATAAAAAAAGCTATTGCTTCAAAACTCTCTCTTGGAGCTGTATACTTCTTTATGAATGGAACCTATGGACTTGCTTTTTGGTATGGAACCTCCTTGATTCTTAGTGGAGAACCTGATTATACCATCGGAACTGTTCTTGCTGTAAGTCTTATTTGAGAACAAAGGTAACTGGCTTAGATAATCTTTTCTTACCTAGAGTTTATTAAAAATTTCTCTTTGAATGATAGTGAATATTTAAAGATGAGTGTTTCTATAAACAAATATTTGTTTCCTTTAAATGATTTGTATACACCTTTATAGTTGTCCATTGTCAGGATTTACTCATCCACTGTGATTTAGTGTCTTCTAGAGCATGATGCTTTTGAAAGAATCATAATTGAATTCTCCACTGGGAGTTAGAGCCATCTTAATCCAGGAGTCAAAAAGACCAATCTCTTGTGAGACTGTTTTCTTTCCATCTTGCTGAGATAAGAGGGCGCCCTGCATTGCTAAATGTCTTCTTCTGGAAATATTGTGTAGATTGGACTCTCCTACTCTTCCTCTGTCCTTTCAGCTCATAGTAATGTTTAAAACAAACTATACACCATGACCAAGTGGGCTTTATCCCAGGAATGCAAGGATTCTTTAATATCTGCAAATCAATCAATGTAATACACCACATTAACAAATTGAATGATAAAAAACATATGATTATCTCAATAGATGCAGAAAAAGCCTTTGACAAAATTCAACATCCATTTATGATTAAAACTCTCCAGAAAGCAGGAATAGAAGGAACATACCTCAACATAATAAAAGCTATATATGACAAAC